TCACGTCCGTAATTCGCTTCTACCTATCTGATACCTTATCAAAGATCAGCAGAAGGTGCTAACCACAAATTTACAACATTTGGTTTACATAGTAATAGTGAGTAAATGACACTACTGGCTTCCGTACAATACTTTTGCGACTTCTCACCTTGGTCAGATCCTGTTCCGTGGTCTTCGCGAAGAACTTAGCAGATTTGCGAATGCCAATGCCTGGCAGACTGCTTAGGTAATCGCACCCAGCCATAATACACATTCGCCTGAAGGCGGCAAAGTCGAATTTGTCTGGAGGGATGTTCAGCGCTTCAGGGAGGCTCCGCCGTTCATAGAGGATACCGTTGCCATTGAGGTCCATTTTGTAAAGTACCTGCAGAGAACGAAACAACAAAGTTGGCGATAAAATTTCAAATTTAAACTTTACACTTACCGAATAACACCCGAACGGAATGAGGTCAGAATCCTCACTGATCACAAGCTGCACATGGTCGTTTAACGATAGATAAGCCAGCTGAGCATCCGCTTCATATGGCGAGACAATATACCGGACTCCGGGAAATTTTTTGCACGCCTAAAAACAAACGTAAATATGAAATTCAATGTAACAGCAAGGTACTAATGAAACGCACGTTGATAATGTCTACGATCATGTAAAACTCGATTTCGGAAGACTGCTGGAAACAGCCACGAGCCTTGTCGACAAAACCCTGTTCGAATAGTAATTTTCCCTTTTCTTTCATCGTCTGTCGTCGTCTAAATTAGAACAAAGTTGCTGCGAAAAAATAATGTCCCCATCAAGTGAAGGCACGTCGCGACTAACTCTCTTCGTGTTTTGTTCGTTTCGTGCTTCGCAGGTAGACTGGCGCCGTCGAACACAAGCAGGACATCCATGTTGTGGCGCAGCAGCAGGGTGACCAGCTTCAAGCAGTAGTTAACGTACCTAAATAAGCAAAAACTTCGATAAAACACAGGACTACCGTATTCTAAACTCGGGTACCAGACAAGACAATGGAACCGGATCAAAGGAGGTCATAAAAGTCTTAAAATCAAACACAAGTGGAACATCAATCATATTAGCGGTTTGTTGGTAATTTCCGAAGGAATGTAATATGCTGGTACATGAAGCCGATATCTACTACGGAATATTTAAATGAAAACTACAAATTGATGAGTACCAATGCACTCGAACAACTCAATAGAGATACGTTTAGGGCTCATGATTTAACGTCTAGGGAAACCAACATTTCTCTCTCTTATACAGTGCTCATTAACCCAGGATATGCACACCGTTTTTTCTCCCACCATTCTACACACTAGTACTCAATTTCTACTATTTAAGCGAATTTGTTGAAAACATCGCCTTCCTCTCACCTACAAGGCCCAAGAGCATTAGGACCTGAAACATCAAAAAGCAGATCAAGCGGACAAAGAACAACAGGACATCAAAAATTAGTATGTTTCATAGAAGTTATTAGATAGGGTTTATCATCACCACAGTTATACTCTCATTTCTCAATCTTTCCACAATGCATTCTATCTTGAATTCTATCCACAATGCATTCTATCTATGCTTCTGATCGATATGACTGCTAGTTGGAGGTCATAATGAAGGATCTATTCGCCAACTCCCGATCCGACAGTAAGCCTACGGCTTCTGTGGGGAGCCTCCGTTCAATGACATCCTCTGGTCACAGGATAGATGGCATGACCTATCATATATTCAGGTCAGACGCGATTCTGTCAACAATGTTCAACTTTCAATGCTCAGTTCGATACAAGTTCGTATGTTCAACTCTGTCCTGGTCTTCTTCGGTGATCTGATTGTGGACAACGGTCAAAGACTGCCAGCTCGTGATCATAGGCAAAACAAAATGCAATGAAAAGGGCTTGCGACGAAAACGCAAATATTTGGCTAACAACGTTTTAAATAGTGGGAAGAGGAGTACAGTACCGTATGAAATGATTCTGTGATAAAAAATGAATATTCAGACTGCCCGGAGCATTTTCTGCACTACTATTACGAAAAAATATTTAACTGAGGCTGTTCGTACTGATTAAACTTTCCGTGCACGACAAGTGTCCCTCTATCCTCACCGTCCCCCGAAATACAGTTAAAGCCTCAACGACCTAGCGAGAAAACCGAGTTGGCCGCTTAAGTTTTTCAGAAGCAGGCATTACTTACAAGAAGGCCCCCAAAACGATCGAAGCATTATTGGCGCTTTGGAAATTTTTTCCAAGAGTTGATTACGCTCCTTCAGAGGGCCTAGCGGTGATCTTGCACACAATACCTGTAGAATGCGGTTCGAGCATGTATACATAGGAAGGTAGTAGATAGCCCTGTGGTAGATATGTCAGATAGGAATGGGAAAAAACAGTGATTTTCGGGTAAAATTTGTCGATAAAAAATGCCTTGACCAGACATGTTGATGACGCCGTAAATGGGTCCACCAAAATAATTAGCAACAATTGAAGTTGAATGATGCACTGAAAGGAGAGATACTGTATGAGTGACAAGGTCAAGGTTCAACAGGAGAAACAGCGGGAACAACAGAGCAATCTTCCAGCATAAACAATACTTTAAACAGAATCACATAACCAGGTTTGGCAACTCAGCTGTTCAAGCTTTGCTAACCA